AAATAGTTAATTTCTTTAATCGTTGCGGGAAACAACAAATTATTTGAATTAAATGCATATATCTAAGCTCCATGGTTAAATGACCCTTAAAAACAAATAAAGGTGCAAACAGTTTAGCTCAAAACAGCAACACAAATAAAATATTTAACTTTAAATTATTATGAACAATATTTATTGACAAATAAAATTGATTTTTATAAGAGCGGCTGATAGCCGAATGGGTTATGACAACAGCTTGACAAGCTTTACAGCCAACCACATCACCACATTGTGGCCTTTATTATTTACTCTTTTTATATTTTGTAACTATTTAATTGACAAATAAATTGATTTTTGATTTGACAAGCTTGACAAGTGACAGACAGACAGGATTTTATTTTTCAAAAGCGAAGAATAAAGGAAGAAGATGTGCTTTTAAAAATTGGCCTCGATGGGGGAGGTTGCTTTTTTAAAATATGTTTAAATATCCAGACGAATGAAGTTGCCAGTCGTGTTAGCCTAAAAGATTCTGGTTTCAAAAAAATGTTATATTGGTTAATGAAAAAATATGAAAGTAAATTGTTTTAATGTGTCATATACATTGATGTACTGGAAAAATATAGTATTTTAGCGGATCTGAAATTGGCAAATATTTGATGGGCATTATGTTGCACAGCTCCGCTTTTCCCTGTACATGGTGCCAAGCAAAAAAACAAAATTTAAACAACGAATGAGAACTACGTACTTTTACAAACATTCGCGATCAACCCAAAGAAATCTAAGCATTTTTTTAATTGCATCCATGAACCCATTCCTCAATCTTGAGCGAACCCATGATCCTAGTAATACCGCCTGAACTGCATTTGCTCTTGGGCTATGACTTTTTATCATGAGTACTATTTTATTTTATTTTATTTAACACGTGATGTTATTTTTTTAGGTACTGTAAATACCTTATACAACAACCTGTTAAAAGCGCCTCCTGATGTATGCAATCAGTGGACAACTCTTTGTCACGTTCAAAGGGAGGTCATACATACAAAAGTTTATACAAAAGTGCTCTTTTAATTCCACCCTTACTTCTTACAGGAAACTCATGTAAAAAATTATTGATAAATTTGGATTATTTGGATGAAAATCTACCAATAAATTAGCTGCCGTATATGACTTGCCTTAAAGCTTTTAACGTTTAATGTGACGAAAAGTACTTTTAAAGTCACCTTAGATCCAAATTATAAAAAATATAGATTTAAGTCTTTCTTTCTTGAATTGGGAATTAAAACAACGCCAAAAATACTTGCAGTCATTTTTTACGTTCAAGAGTTCTGTGAAAAAACAAATTTGGACTTTTATAGCGAACAGGCTAGCAAAGCAGTTCATTCTGATTTTGCGGTAGTATGGAACAGGTTCAAGGTAAACGACAGCCATCCGATGTTTTCAAAAAAGTTATTGGCAGCTGTTATTTTTTACAATAGCAGTCATATTTAAATTACTAATAATAATATGTTTAAATTTTGTAACTAGGTAAGAGTGAAATAAACCTAATTTAGTTATTGTGTTTTTGTGCATTTTCCTTTTATGTTAATAAAATCAAACGTAATCGTTAAAATATTTTGTGTTGGGTTTTTTCAGTATAAAAATGACCAAAAAAATATTAATAACAAAATTACTCTTGGACAATTTTTTCGGTCATTTTTGTTTTTTGGCGAACCTTGTATAGCGACAGCGGAGAACGAAAAGTAGCCACATCTGCATAGTGAACTGTTCATGAATGCTTAGTTTCTTAGCTTAGCTCAATATTTTTTGTAATTTTCGTTTATGGTCAGCCAGGGTGGGGTGTAGCTTTGACATCACAATGATCAAACCATTCAAGGGCTGTTCTTTCAGCGTTTTCACCATATAGGTACAGCAAGTAAAGTTTTTTAGTCTCCTGCGTTTTCTTTTTTGAAAAAAGTAGATAATTTATATAAATGTTTCTTACATATGTTACTTATATTTAAGATGCATTTTTTTACTAAGCAAACAAATAATTTTTGAAATGGTTAAATTCAAACGAATGTTTTGGTTTTAGTGTAAAAATAATAAGTGCAAATAGATACTTTTGTTCAAATCATTTTTAATTAGCGATTAAACTTTGTTCTTCCGAGTTAAAATGCATAAAACCGAGCGGGTTTTTCGTGTTATTTTTTAGTGCAGGTAGTTAGAAGGCGGTCTCTGGGGGTGCGAACTGGTCGTGAATGCCAAGAAAACTCTCTAAAATAAAATAAAATGGCATTTAGATTCGGCTTGTTTTCTAATTAAAACTACCGCAATAAATTGGAACGTGTATAGTTGTGTATAAGTGACATTAAAGTTAACGGCGTGGGTAGGTATTAGTTTTCTTCTTATGGCAGAGGCAGAGAAGAGAGGAGAAAAGCAATTCGCCGCCGTGGCCGCCATCCGAGGCATTCTTCGGAATAAAGGGCGGCGGTGTTTGTTAATTTAAAAGTTGTTTGCGGAAGTAGCTTATGCATTCGTTAAGTGAACAGATAAGTTGTGTGTGATAATGTGCGGCTGCTGCTGCTGTTTGTTTGAATTAGACACTGAAGGCCTCACTATAGACTTAAGCCCAAACAATAAATTATTTTTGTATACATTAATAAAATTGTTATAAAAAGAAAAAATATACATATTGTAAATTTATAAACAAAAATTATTTAAAAAATGGATTTTTTTAGGAATTTAAAAAAATAATTAAAAAAAGTATTTTGATATGCATAATAGTATGTTATTTAAAAAATCGTAAAGAATAAAATACGTTCTTTAAAAAAAGTTAAATATGTAGTCATTATAAGTAAAAAATTCTGCCCACCATATCCCATTATAATTTTTCCATGTATTTTGACCCTCTAAACACGAAAATCACACTAAATTTTTTTTATGGAAGCGGTTTTGAAATATGAATTTTCAAAAAAAAAATTTTTTTTTAATTTTCGGAGGTGTTTTGAAGTTTTTTAGTATAGCTTGAAATCTAATTGATCAATTTGGTCAAACAAGCCCTTAAATTAAAGGTATTTGAGCCCTCTAAAACTTTCTTTTACATACTTTTGATATCGGATAAATATTTTGACGCTAACCTCTCTAAAAATAAATTAGTTAAAAATGACTAATTTAATAGTTATCAGTGGCTGCTTTTTCACTTGTACCATGGTTAACCATGGAATACCATGGTATCCCAAAATTAAACAGCCAATTCTTATGTAAAATTGTCCCCTGAATCAGAAAATGTCGTCAAAAGTTAAAAAAATGGAACAGTTTTTGAAATATAGTCAATTTTCCATTTAATATGGAATTGACTATATCTCAAAAACTGATCCACTTTCATAATTTCGGATTTAGGGAACAATTTTACATAAGAATTGGCTGTTAAATTTTGGAACACCATGGTAATCCATGGATATTATCCATTGGATAACCATGGTACAAGTGAAAAAGCAGCCACTAATAACTATTAAATTAGTCATTTTTGACTAATTAATTATTAGCTAATTAATTATTAGCTAATTAGAGAGACGATTTTAATAACTTTAAAAAATTCTCAATTTTTTATGGCAAAAATTGAGGTAGAAAATTTACATATCGTCCTGGGAAGGGTTTAAATCAAACAGATAACTCCAGTTTGTATTTTTTTTCGTGAAGCTGACATTTTTACAAAAAGAACAAGCTAGGTAATGTTGATAAAAATGCATGGAAAAATGGCGAAATTATGAATTTTTTAGTGGAAGACCAAAATTCAGCTTTTTTACGATTTTTATTTTATTTTGTTCTTTTATTTTGTAATATGTTTATTCTTTACTGAAAATCTAAGTAAAGTGCAATTTTTTACGTACTTTTTTCACCGAAAACATTATACAAAATTTAAATTTGAGATGACTCCGCAAACGTGAATTCTTTTGTTTCTCGGGTTGGCATAGTGACATTTTACTGCTATTTTTTGATATTTCAACAAGGTATTTTTATCATGGTTTTATTTAGTTAATAAAAAGTGTAAAATGAGGAAAAGAAGTAGAGAGTTCGTAAATAACCCGGACAATCTGGGTGACGTAAGTGATGAGCAAGGAGAACGTTTTCACGGCTTCTGGGATGCAGCAATGATGGGTGATTACATTTGGTCCCTCATACGAGAAACGGAATACGAAAGCAACAAAAAACAAAGGAGCCAGAATTTGTTTAAACCTATGCTTATTAAAACAAAATAAAACTTTCAATATATGCAATGTTCAATATTTATTGTTGAATATTCAATATATATATATAATTTAATTTTAATATTTAATGTTTAAAATAAAAATTAATGTTCAATATTAAAATAAAAATGAAGAACAAACGTAAAAATTCTCGAAAAACTCGAAAAACTTCGCCATTTATTCATGGATTTTTATCAACATTAGCTTGATCTTTTTGTAAAAATGTCAACTTTTTCCTTTAAGTATAATCTATACGTAAAATAAATCAAACTGAACTTATCTTTTCGATTTCTATCTTTCCCAGAAAGATATGTAAATTTTTGACCTCGATTTTTGTAAAAAAAAAGGACGTTTTCAACTTCATAAAATGGCCAGTATCGAAATACTGAGCCGATTCCAAAACTATACAAAAGAAAGTTGTAGAGGGCTCAATTACCTTTGATTTAAGTGCTTGATTGGTCAATTCGATCAATTAGAACTCGAAGTATACTCTAAAACGTCAACACACCTCAGAAAATTAAAAAAAAACAATTGAAAATTCATATCTCGAAAACGCTTCCATGAAAAAAAATTTAAGTGTGATTTTCGGGTTTAGTGAGCAAAACTACTCAAGAAAATCATAGTGAGACATGGTGGGCAAAATGGCTGTAAACTAGTGTTATAAATTCATGAAAAATTATTCTTATTACATTTTATTTTATTATTTATTTTATTTAATATTACAGATTTAGAAAAAAAAATTTAAACCATTTTTATGAAACATATAAATAAAAAAATACTTAACGCCTTTATAAGACTCTTTTGGAGCAGACAAAAGTAGCCCGGGGAAGAGGAGAGAAAGAAGACTGTGTTCGGTCGGCGATCACGGACTGATCGCGAGGGGTCTGCCAGGGGTCGAAGGGGGTAAATTTGGCAACGGCCCACCCAACGCCGCGGCGGGCCGAGAAGACGGTGGCGACTACCGTTCCCGATAATAAATTCCTTGTTATAGGAACAGAGAACGGCGTTCTTAAATCTCGTTAACTGTTCTAATTGCACGGCAGCGTGAAATTGTTAAATTGTATTTAAATAGACGTAATTAAGAGTCAAGTAGTGCACCTATTTTTAAAATAATCAGATTTTTACGATTCCAATACAATATTATGTTTAGGATAATGCTAGACTAGCACACTGTTCAAAATCAAGCCTTTTGAAATACCTAATCAGAATTAGTTAAGGAAAAATAAGGTAATATGCTTAAACGAGTAAAGCATTTTACCTTCTCGTTTATTAGGCAGAAACTAATGCCTTAGTTCTATGGTGTATTCACTAACTTCTAGATAAATATTCATACTTTAGGGTGAGTCCATATCAAATCAACCAAAAAAAGGTCACTTTTTTCCCTCACCATCTCCGATTTTGATAATTTTTATTACACTTAATCTACCCATCAAAAAACTCATAAACCTCAAATTTTAATTTTTTTTGACGAGTAGTTTTTGTTTTATTGATTTTTGAAAATCAAAAAATTGCCGATTTTGGTCTTGCAGGTACTTACAAAAATTGCTATATCTCGAAAACTACTCAAAATAAAAAATTGAATAATAGCTTGTTTTAAAGGTCTTTTATAAACATTTTTTATGATATGTCACATGACCTAAATTTCTTAAAAAAAAAAATTTTAATATCGAAAAAAAATTTTTTTTTTTTAATCTCAAAAATACCTTTTTTAATTTTTTTCAAAAAAATATATATTTTTTGTGCACATTTTGTTAAGCTATGTATAAAATTTCAAGATGGACACTCAACGGGTTCATGGTGAAAAAAAATATAACGGAACTCACTAACCTACAAAAAATTAATATTTATGGTCATTTCACTCCAAATAATTGATTTTGATTTTGTACCTATGATTTTTTCACTTTTGTTCAGCTGCACGGTAGGCTGGGATACAAATCTAACTGGAAAAAATTAATTACTCCCTCAAAAATTAGCAAAGCACTATTAAAATATTTTTTATTTTTATTTAAGTTAAATATGCGGTTAATATGGCTTTGCTAATTTTTGAGGGAGTAACCCAGCTAGCAAGGTTACGTCATTAGGACGATATTTTAAGGTCACCTTTCGTCGGCGACGTCACATGACCAATAAAAGACGGGTTTATGACGTCACATTTCCGACGTCATTTAGATGTTTTTATGTTGCGTCTTTCTGACGTTTTCAATAGGTGATTTTATATCACGTAATAAATATATAATAATACGTACGTAGTAGGTATAGATCGTACTACCTAATTTTTGAACACCCTGTAGATAAAATCCCAATTTTTTTGTAGACCAAATTTACTTTTTTATCAGAAAAAATAAAAAAAAATCCCTATCATCGATGACACGCAAATCCGTCTATGAACAAATAATTATTCTACAAGACAATAACGAAATACTATTTTAAACAAAGTATTTTTTAATTCTTAATTTAGTTTTACAATTTCATTGCTGTCAATACCTATATAGGTATTTATATTATTCCGAATAAAAAAAAACAGACAAAAATTTGTGTAACTTGTGAAGTGTCGATACATGGCGGGAAGTAAAGAACGCCGTGCTCGATACCACCAATCACAGACTGTGATTCATAGTCAGCTGACCACTGTGAGATCAGCTGACTTTAGTGGCAAGCTGCGATTGCTTTATCATTTCTAACCGTCCATGCTTTGCAACGGTGCACTACCGCGGTGGCGTCTATTCTGTTATTCGGTTAAATTAAGTTAATTAATAACTGTTGTGCAAATCTACAATTAAGTGCAGTAACTGCGGATCAATAGGTAGGTTTTACATAATTATTAAATCATTCTTAATTTATTTACATATACCTATACTAGGTGTTTAAAAGATGTACGTCGTAGTTGAGTTTGCACACGACGAACGTACGTGGTGACGCGTCATGACGGGGGAATTTCCGCTATCAATACAAAGTGGCTAACTCCTCGCAAAAAAGAAGTTTACTGGCCACCTTATAAACAACAGTGCAAATACGACAAGGCATTAAAAAATGGTGAAGAAGCCAATGATAGCTCGAGCTATCCATAATGTTCGATTTATGGGATGGGTCTACTCTATTAAGTTTGTTATTTAGAATTTATATTTTATTTATTTATTTATATTTTATAATATATGACATTTATAATATATTTCCTTGTTTTATTTATTACAATAAATGACAACTATTGTACGTCTTTAAGACGTCAGTACTTACGGCAAATGACGTTGTTTGTACGTCCTAATATTACGTCAACGGCCTGTGACATTTGCCCGTTTTAAAGACGTGATTTTGACGTGATGTTAAGGGTGAATATGACGTAACTTGTGACCAAAAAATGCCGTGATTATGACGTCACCATGTTTGCTGGGCTGGGATACAAATCTGGACAAAATTAGTTAACTAATTTTGTCCAGTTATATTTGTATGCCAGCCCACCGTGCGGCTGCAAAAAAGTGAAAAAATCAAGGGTACAAAATCAAACTCATCAACTATTTGGAGTAAAATGACCCATAAATATTATTTTGTATGTTAGTGAGTTCCTTTATAATTTTTTTCACCATGAACCCGTTGAGTGTCCATCTTGAACTTTTGAACATAGCTTATCAAAATGTGCACAAAAAATATATATTTTTTTGAAAAAAATAAAAAAAGGTATTTTTGAGATTTAAGAAAAAATTTTTTTTTCGAAATTAAAAATTTTTTTTTGAAAGAAATTTAGGTCATGTGATATATCAAAAAAAAGGTATCTAATAGGCCTTTAAAATAAGCCATCACTCACCTTTCTAAGTTTAATAGTTTACGAGATATCGCTATATTTGTAAGTACTTGCAAGACCCAAATCGGTAATTTTTTGATTTTCAAAAATCAATAAAACAAAAACCACCTATCGAAAAAAATTCAAATTTGAGATTTTTGAGTTTTTTAGTGAGGTAAACAAATTTACCAAAAATTATTAAAATCGGAGAGGGTGAGGGAAAAACCTTTGGTTGATTTGATATGGACTGACCCTTTACTTAATAAACTTGTCAAATTTAAAAAGATAGGCAGATTACCTAAATATTTAGTCAAAATCTCAATTACTTTTAGGTACAACAATTTTGCTTTTAATTTAGGTAATTCTTCTAAATTATTATGGTAAATTATTGAACTAATTTAGGTAAATTTCTTTAAATATTAGTGACTTACTTGCAATCGGCTACGATCGCTAATACCGACGTTTTACGATAAATATTCGCGCCTATATTGTCCACCATAATGCCAAAATCAACGAAAGCCTAAAGACCGCGTTGTGTGCTATTGATATAACAACATAGTTAACATTTATTGTGCTATAAGTGAACATTTTGTAGTGCTATAGTTAAGTAATCCAAAACAAATGGAATTTCCCATTGACTCCAATTTATTTTTAACCCTGTAGTACCGGAACCGCCGTTGTTAATTCGCCTAGGACATAAAGATAAAGGAGTCCTCACTTGGAAGAAAATTCCTATGCCAAAAGAAACTTTATTAAACTTATAAAGTAGGTATACCTATAAGTATTATTAAAATTATAAATTAGCTAGGTATTATTAAAATAAACGTAATTCGTTTTTGTTACTTTTATTTTTTTTATTTATACATATTTATTAATATACATTTTCAATTTAACTAAAATAAATGTATTTTTTATTTTACCCATCAGCACTTAAAAGGGGAATTTATAAGGTCATTCTTTTCTCATTTACATTGCTCGATATAGGGATAAACACTACTAGGTTATCGGTAACTTTTTACAATAATATTTAACATTTACAATAGTATATTTCCAAAATAGTATATTACCAAAGCAATGCGTAAGAATAAAAATGACATTATAAATATCTTCTCTCCTAAATAACAATTTCTTGTTACCCTTATATTTTTGTCTAATGAAATAGTGGAATTTCACTAGAAAATAAGTAGAATTTTACTAGAAAATTAGTCAAACTTCACTAGATAATTAGTGAAATTTCACTAGAAAATTTTCACTAAAAATATATATGATATATAAAATATACCTAAAAATTTAAGCAAATGGCCTTAGAAACAGAAAATTTATTCTTTTATTCTCAGGCAATATCCCTTACGATCTAAGGTATATCATCTTTGAAACCTAAGTGATTTTGCTTAATTAATTGTATTATTTTCTTTAAAAATATCAGTTAAAGAATTCACTAATTTAAAAGGGGAAATTCATTTCAAGCAGTTTGCCTTAAAAAATCAATGGTCCTATATAGTCTAATATTTTAGGTAAAAATTGGCTAAAATTTTGAACAGTGCATTGCTAGTTACACCTTAAGCTTCTTAAGCAACATAAGTATATCTTAAAAGATAAAAAAAGGTACTATATAGGTAATTATAATCATATATTATAATCATTTACATTACATAAATATTTATAATTATAAAAATGCAAATTCAACTCTCTTAAAATGAAATAGTCAAAATTCTACTATTTGAACACAGCAAAAAATTTGCCCGTGTAAATTTTCTAGAGTACCTGCCATTAAGACATTTTAAGCGTTCCGGTTCCTTTTACTAACCCGGTATGGTGCTATAAAATTATGACAAAATATTAAGTAGGTGTTGCGTCGCCGACGTTATGTTGACAACGCTTTGTTGCTATGGTATTTTTGGTAATACAAACATAACAGTTTTTATAGGCTGTCAGAATGTTTATCATAAATTTGAAATTCTTCCTACGTTTTGAAAATGAGTTCTAGCGAAGAAGACCTGCCGCAAGATCTTGCTAAAGAGGCAAGAATAGTTGCAATTAATTTCCTTCCTTAAAAATCGAAAGAGCGATTTGAAAATGAATACCTTTAGTTTGTTAAAAGAATGGTTGTACAAGCGCGGAATAAATCTTTTTCCTACAAAATTAAATAGGGCTAGACAAGGTACAAAAACTCTTGCTAATGTAATATTGTTAAAAAAA